AAAATAGACAACACATTGTATAGTAATTCTTGTACAGTATTTCAATTTGTATTGTATTTTTAATGTTTTATCTTATTTACTTTTGACTGATTTCATTGATGATTTTGTACATACAGTATATTTCATTTTAATGAGATTTTACTTGACTATTTTATGCTAATCTAATTCATATAGCTGACATCGTACAGCCACTAGACAGTGATTCAGTTCACTTTTTTGCAAATTTGTCCAACAAATTGAGTGCTGTTTTTTCCTCTCAAATATTTTGTGTTTATCAGTTTAAATGTTCTTCTTTAAGATGAAATAAATGAAATGAAAGTGTCCTTCTCATAATAATAAGGGCTCTACAGCAGTCAAATAAAACCAAATCTAATTTAAAACAAACAATTGTCCAAACAAATTGAAGACCCATATCCTAACAAATAGCAGTTTGTTTTCCGACCAATAGTGATAGTAAAGGGGTTTGGGGAGAAAGGCCAAAGGTCAGTAAACTGTGTATTCCTGATTTGTTTACATAACTACAACATACAGGGTATGCATAGTGTAGAAGCAGAATTCTATCATTACCTTAGGATACAGTAATGTCATGTGTGACTATCCACATACTGTACCAACCTATGAAATGTCTATAGTCTAACTAGTTACTTGCTCTAGTCTAAGCACCATTTTACTATCCTATCTAAAGAAAATATTAATACAGTACTACGGTATGCATACAAAATGTTGCTACTACTGTACGCATACAAAAATGATACTACAGTATTCTGTACATGGTAAACAATAATGAAATTGAATATTTAGAAATTTCATATCTTATTGTATCTAGAGTTTACTGCACTCTCCTTGTGAATATAGTACAAAAACAACATCTACAGGTCGTACTGACTGTACATGGAATTCGATAAATGGATCATATAAGATTATGACCCATACTCAGTAAATGAGCGTAATAAAATAATTACACTAGTACACTACACTTTGTATGGTAAATTTGGGAGTGCAGTTGAATAACTTGGTGGTGAAGATTCTTGCCTTCCAATCCCAGGGCCCTGGGTTCAATTCCTATGCTGTGGTGACAGGATTTTTCTCAACAAAACCAAAAATAACTACTTCCTATTTCTTCACAATTTAGAAAATGTAGAGAATCTTGTGTTTAAGTGATTAAGTTCACTGTTTGGCATATTCTTGGCTTTGAGCCTAAAATAAATATTTAAAAAATAATAAAAATTCATTTAGGATAGATTTTGCAGGATTTTACTTCAACACTCTGTAAGTGAGCTCCATGAATATTTCGTAATTGGTATGAAAATGTATTTAAAGCCAGGTTTCTGTAAATTGTTACACTGTTTCAATGAAAACATGACAGTGACACTGCATAAAGTAGTTTTCCTAATACAATCAAAAACACTCCCAGACTCAACCGACCCATCATTGTTGCAATAACGTGTAGCAATTTTATGGAATTCAGGCTTAACATACTGTACTTTGAAAAATAAAAAGCAAAACAGAAAACTGTCTATGCCAATGGTACAGCAGCATGATATATAATGCATTATAAATGGATAATATAGCGAGGCTCATAATTATTATGACAAAAGCTATCAAAACATGTATAAAACAATATATTTATGCAAGTTTTCGTAAGCTTTTGAGCTTGATCGCTTGATTGTTGAGGTGGTCCCTTGGTTTTTGGCCAGCCTTTAGTGGTTTACCAGTGAGCAAGCCTGGAATGTTTTGCTAGATCCTAGTAGGAAAAAGAGTCGAGTCAGTAGAAATAATTACTGTATAACCAAGAAGGAAAAAAAGAAGCCCACTGAGCTCCTATTTAGACTGTCACCACTTGTTAATCATCTTGGAAGTAACTTTCCTTCTAAGTTCACTGGAAAGAAATTCATAAGATATACAGTACATTGGAAGATCCCTGTACGTTGAAAGGTACTGTGTAGTAATTAACATTTTTATGTCAGATAATGAAAATGAACGTGGTTCTTTACATTCACTCTTCAAATCTAGCAGCAGCAAATATCACGCAAGAAACAATGAATTAAACCTCTAGGCCTGGTCAAGGACTAAACGTGTGAGGCACCTTTCTTAAAACCTAGAAAACCAAAATTAAAATTAAATCTATATATATGTAAAGATATGTTATATAAAATCAAAATATTCATATTGATTGATCTATTACTTGTCAATGGGTACAATGTAAACCAACAATAACATGGAAATAATATTCCTTTGCAGAATACTTACAAAATTTAACAACTTTCCATTCCCTTTTCAGCTGTAAAATCAATTAATGCATGGTAATAACTGTATATTAGGCCAATTGTATAACTAACAGTACTTTGCACCAAGGAAACAATATCTCCATAAAGCTGATTCATTCAGCAGAACTAAGTGTAGGGATATTTAATGTTCTGCCCAGATTTTTTTTTTATGACCATTCAAAATTAATGTTATTTATTTTTGTGAAGAATTAGTATCATGCTGGGTGTGAACTATCACTGATCGTCCCTGGCACCACTAAACCATATTTTACTGCACATACGTTGAAGAAAATATAGTAATAATTAAACCTGATAAAATGCTTGTATATTAGCATTGATACTCCTGGCCTCTATGCAAACTTTTTTCAATTTCAAAAAGGATATGAAAACTTTAAAAAAAAATGTATTTTTGAGTTCTATCTTGATAATGGACGACAATCTCTTCTCATTTTGGCAATGGTACAATGACTGACATGCATTAAAAAAAAACTAGATGTCTGTAGCATTTGCATAACAATAGTGACTATGAAGTCTGCTATTGGTACTTCCTCTTTCATTTCTCTCTAGTACCAGCATCATCTTGTCAATTAGATGGTGAATATAGGAAGTTGTAGACAACCTGACACAAGGCCTAAAGTTCATCACGTACTATACAAGCAAAAACTCAATTGACTTTCATTTTTTGCACTTTGTATCAGGTAGCTGATAGCATTATTGCTGCCACCATGGTTGATCCTGAATAAAGGTACCAATGTAATGTACTGTATAAACAAATAACTAACAGTCTGCAGGCTTTAATAATACATATGCTCCCTGGAATCATTCCTTCAGTAGTTAGCAATTTATAGACTTGTATTTATGAAAAGGCTATGAAAAATATAACTATATAATCTACTTTTTAATTGTTATCCTTCCTTTTCATGTGAGGCCTTTTTCACTTGGTATTATTATGGTAATTAGATACAGAATCAATCATGCAGAAAGTACTACTTCCTCACCTCCCTCGGAAGTAATTCTACAGTAGTTATGTACATAATTAGCAATCCCCAGGAATACTGTACCAGCAACATGGCCAATACTTTAATGCTGTGCCACACTAGCAATATGTAGTCTAGAACATCAACAGAAGCATAACAAAAAGGGCTGAGGCCCTGGGTAAGACTTCTTCAGAGCCCTACTACTACCCTGGGAAAAAGCCCCATCCTCTTTGGCATTTGACATTTTAAGGATGTACTTTTTAATGGGTTTTTTTTTACACATGCATGCGAGGGCGAGAAACTAATTTTTTTTATTGGGCCTTAAGTACTTAAAAGTATTCTTGCCCAAAATAAGGAAAATTTACTGTACTAGCAGTGAAATGGAAAGTTCGTTGGCGTAATAGCTATAAGCTCTCACATGCTAAAGCTAGGGACTCAGCCTATAAAGGGCCCAAGGATACTAATTAGCATTTTTTCCATACATTGGCCGAACTGGGCCTTTTCAAGGAGCACAGACATCTTCTATGTTACTGAAAAAAAACTAAATTTTTTTTTTTTAAATTAAATAGTTAGTATATATAGTTTGTATTATCTCAATCATGTTTTACTTTGAATATAAATGCACCAGCAAATAGTCCAAGGGTGATATTTGGCTTTAAATTTTTTTTAAAAAGCCTCCCTCCTTCCCTTATCACTTTTCAAGACTAGATAGGGTGATAAAATAATATTTAATAATATTTTTCATAGAGCCTAATTGAAAATTGCATGGAAAATCACTCAATGACAAGGTCACAGAAGCTTAACCAGTGTAATCCTCTGGTAATATATATTGAGACAATATTTAAGGTCAATATGCCAATATTTAAAAAAGTATATTGTGCAGGAAAATTGGTCCCAGGCTGTAAAAATGTATTATCGGTGCAAAAAATACCATCTAATTGTACAAAAAATATCAGTTGTGTCAAATTAAATTTTGTTGCATAAAATATGCATCTATCTACTACATACAGGCAATCTCATACAATCAATAATGACTTAAGCAAAGTCTATGCCTAATAAAAAGCTAACCTCCGTTGAACTTCCAAGTAAAAAGGGGGAGTGGCACACCAGATATCACAACTGTCTGTCTGTGACCTTGCTCAGCAGTATAAGTGATTGTCGGGAAGATAGGCTAAACTAGGCCCTAGGAAAATATCACACTGTTCACAGGCACCTAAGCATATACAGCAGCAATTCAATACACAGCCAGTATTCAATAAGTTGTTATTATTTGAGGTATATTTATTTAAAAATTCAACACCAAAAACATACATAGCAGCGACTATAAGGCTGAATTGCGTATGAATTAACAAGAATAAAATCCAAATAAAATACAATAGTTATTATCGTTTTAAAATAACATTATCAATAATGATGACCTATTTTATTATAATATATAACCAGCCTAATCCACTGTACTGTAGGCTTTAAAGTACTTATTGTGATTGTATTTGTAGGCCAGGGCCTAGGCTAGGCAAGAGACAAGAAGAAGGCTAGGCCTACATTGACTATTTAAAATACCATTTTCCTAGCTCTTCTTTCTAGACTATTCAGCTCAAATGAGATATGGGGATTTCTTTTAATATGAAATTGAATATAGGAAGTTCAAAACAACACATGTATCTATACAATAGACATACACACTATTCAAAGCATTCGCTTCTGATGAAGTGCTTTACTATTTTCGCCGAGGTAAGCAATGAATGACTCAACTCACAATCAAGATGCTTTTTCTTCGGCCCCATAATCTCTTCGGTCGTTGCTTTGCAGACGGACTTGTCAATGTCGGAACCGGTGATTGTATGTTTGGCAGCAACCACACGGTCAAGAACACTCTGCCCAGACATGCTGGAAAATGAATTTCACCAGTTATGTCCTTTTAGAATTTCGACAAAATGCTCCTCCTTCTTTCTAATAAATTCCCACTACCGAATTTGTTATTCTACTTGCGAGAAATCTCTCCCACCACAATATGGCGTTACTATGACCTTAACATGACCTGCCACGTGACCAAGGCCACATCATTTCTAGAGGGCTCTCTAATCTTTTTTCAACATATGATAATTATCAGCAAGATACTGTACAAGATAAATTTATTGTCCGAAAGGAAATTACATTTGGATATTACATCGCATAAAAAATGGTTTAAAAGTCAACATATAAATATAAAGTACGTGTTAGATACCGTAAAATATTATATTTAGCTTCTAAGAGATATTTTTTGGTGAAGTATGTTTCAATTTATACTTTTTGGCTTAGTATAGTAAAACAGATAGGCCTAGGTTCATAAAAAATATATTAATACAAATATCTTCCCTTTGATAGTTTCCAACAAATGAAATTATCATAATTACAACAATAACAATAACGATAACTAACATGACGAGCAGTTTATTTTAATGTACAACGAAAGCTTTGTCGATACCTCAAATATTCATAGGTGCCTGCGAGGCGGGAGGGGGAGGGGATGGGTATGTATATGTATTTTCTACATATATTAGTAGACTCTAAAATCGATTAAATAAGCCTTTGAAACCCCTAAATTGTCCCCATCGGGAACATCAAACCCCCATTGGGAAAATCATGGCGCCACCCCTGACTAATGTGCTACTTTTGCTTTATTGTGTAAAAACAATAACAATAATATCAAACACAATAACGAAGATGCCTACCCATTTGGTGATCTTGACCGGCGACCACGCAGCATTATATGAACAGATTCGACCGAGTACTGTACTGCCTGGATCGTTTTCTCCATCGTTGAACAGCCTAAATCCACCAACTGTATAGGCCTATTGTTTATAGGTCTATCGTCCTAAATTTTAAAAAAATACTGTATATAGCTACAGGTAAATAGGCCTAATATGTAATTAATCATCAGTTCAGTTTTCAATCCATCCTGAGCATTTAATCGTTTTACAATTAAAGCTAAAGTAAAATTTATTAGAGCCCAGACAGTTTATATGATGTAAATGGATAATTATTTTGATGGGGATGAGGCTGCCGCAAGAGAGGATTGGTTTGATTTATCAGAAGGGTTCCGCTCGCCGAAAAAAAAAAAACTTTCAAAAAGAAAGCAATAATTTCACAGTGACATCATTTATGCTAATTTATTTTAATATCAAATTTATACATAAAAGATAAAATAAACATAATGGATTTGTAACTTTAATGGATGACAAAATTATCCGAGTTCCCACGAGCCATAGGCCAATGTTTAGGCAGGTATCTGCGTAGAAAGTAGAAGCTCCACTACTAGGGCTTAAATCTACACTCGCAAATTCCTCTTCTTCAACCTATTGCACTTATAATTAAACATTACTACGAAACGATTGGAGTTAATATCTTTATCGTACCGGAACAATATATATTTCAAATCTATCTTTTCGGAGATTCAAATTTATATGCTTCAATGTCGAAAACTAGTGCTGTTCCACAATAGAGTGAATTGCTTCCAGCTAGATCCAAATTCTCAACGAAGCCCCTGTAGACCAGTTGGGTAAGGTGCATAGACAGCGGAAGTTCCCTGGTTTGAATCCTGATTGAGGGAACATTTAATCCTTTTCACAATTATGGATATTATTTTATTATTTTATGATTCTGTATATTCGCCGAGACAGGTAAAATTGATTTCTATATAACATACAGATACAATAATTTGGTTTTGTAATAAAAAAAAAATTTAAAAAAACAATCCCGTTATAGGCCTAATCGTCTTTCTAACGAGGTGTATAAACTTCAGGACAATATTCTGTGAGCAAAACTCAAGCAACACCAAACTTCACGTTTGAGTAGGAACTAATAGTAATACTAAATTTGCTTCACTAAAATACCGGTACCGCCTACTGTTTATCCTGGGTAGAAGCCAAAATTGTTCAAAATGTGCACCGAGCATTTCCGATCTGTTTAGTTATTCGCAATGTAATACGGTATTTGCCAAGGTTGTCGTAGGAATAAACCAAAAATAAATCACAATTTAAAAACTTCTAGGTTAAAATTCCAGAGGGAAAAAAAACACGAAAGATGTTGAAAACCTGGACTACAAGACAGTGAAAAACGACCAACTATACTGTATTTCTATTTTTATACCTCCATGATTATACTATCCTATACCGGTACTTTATCCAATATCATCGATCGTCAATCATTCCTGGGTAGAACAATTTGTTCAAAATGTGCAGTCCAGGCATTTCCGATCTGTGTTTAGTTATTCGCAGTAGTGCAATGATACAAGCTTGTCGTAAGAATGAACCAAAAGTAAATCATAATTTTAAAACTTACCCAGGTTTTAAAATCCAGAAAAAGAAACCACTAAAAAAGATGCAGAAAACCTGAACTAGGAGACAGTTCTTATTACACCATATTATTAGGAGACAGTGAAACACGGCAAACCATACATTTCCATCGATCGTCAATCATTCCTGTTACTAATTACCGAGGTTTGTGTGTATACTGATTCGTGGCGTTAATGGATACGGGAAAAGTTCAGCCCCGTCGAGTTCCGTTCGGATCACTCTCACACCAGTGGCGAAATCCGCGATCGGCGCTCGAATTGCGCGTGCGCAGTGACTATAAAATATGATAGACATAAGTTAGGAATTTGGCCGAGACAGAACCACCTTAGGGAAGTATGCCAGTAGCGTGGAAATTGTGACCTCCTCCCTATTGCATTTAATTTAAAGTTCAATATCAGTTATGTGACGTCACCCAATGCAACCTTTAAGGGTAAACTCAAGTTGTCCATCAAAGCTGTCATAGTTACCTCAATATATAATTTTCTCTCGTCCCATTTCATTAACAAAAAGACTGTTGCGAACATAATTAGGCCTACAACATGGATGATTGCTGTAATTATGATTAGTGTTTTGATCATGTTTAGGTGATAGAAATATCGGGTTTTATAATTATCACTTTTCTTATAGTTGAGGAATCTCACCTATTGGAACAATCGCATACCTACAATATTAAATGAAATTACATTGGAAACTATCGTAAATACATTTTTCCCTATGTCCCGTAGGTCCGGATTCCGACTCAAGGGGTTGTAACTGTTCCATTAGCATATTAGATAGGCCTACAGCAAATAACTCCACAGTAATTATCTCTGTAGGCCTAATGATTATCTACAAAATGTAAACAATTCAACTTGTGATTAGAAATATCATTTTGTTTAGAATAATTATTTCGTAATATCTCGGGCCGACATGATCGACACTCACATCGTGTAGAATGCCGTGCTCACAGACATAAGTAAATATAACACAATAATATCTATCTGTCGAAATGTCAGTCACTTTTCCAAAATATATATGGCTGACCGACTTCGTAAGGAGACAGTTACATCGATCATAACGCGTGCAATGATTTTATACACAGAACAAACAAGAGAATTCACACATTATCTACAGACGCTGTTCATTAATAGGCAAACCATGCGCATTTAATTGCTCAAATTTGGGTGCCATTTGGGATAACACAAAATAAGTTCGTATGAACATAAACGGATTGCTCGTCACACTTGAATAGAACAGTGAACCGTGGTACGTCTTTGGTATAAGAAACATGTTTGTTGTGCTGACTCAAAGCACAGGTATTTTAAGGATGTAGGCTTACTACTACTACTTACTGCTCCTAACCCGTAGATCAAGAATGCCTTTTCTAGTCAATATTCTTAAATCACTGTTTTTACCCTGTCGTTGCTGTTGGTTTTTTTAACTGTGTTTCATTGTATTGTTTAGTATTTTCTCAGTGTATTGCAGTTTTACCTACAAAAGTTTTTCTTAAAATGGGGAAGAGTTGGCTTGCGCTTCTTCACAATCATTAGAGTACAGTACCAGACCAATTGTGTACAGCAAGTTTGACAGGCTGGAGCCCTCTATAATAATGTAAGAAACTTTCCTTTAAAAAAAAAGCGGATAAATAATGCATATTCATAAGTTTAAAAATAGAATACTGTAGAATTAAATCTCCTATTTGTACTATGCTAATTTCAGTCAAAATTTTCCATATCAAAAATACAAAGTACAATGTAACTTGATAGGTATCAGCATGCTTTATTTATGTATTAATATATAACCAATATATAAAATAGACGTGGCTAAATAACAATGTTTCCTATTGTTTTGGTATTCATTCCCATGGGAAATTGCAGGTTATTAAAAACATGGCAAAAAGGGGACACCACAGTTAATGTCACATACTGTTTATGGGAAGACATGGCCAGGAGCAGTTCCAAAATCCATAATATTCATTCATTACAGACTTCTCAAGTTAGTAAAACTGAATTTCAGTAATCAAGTCTTCAAATATCAGTACCAAATACAAAATTTCTGTAGCACCTAATAATTTGTCTTGAGTGCAAAATATGGGTTGCTTAACCACAGGTACAGGATAACGAGTCGTGGAATTAAAAAAAAAAACATGACAGGATGAAGATTTACAGGTCACTTAACTTTTTACAATAATTTACCAGTAATCTGAAAAGTAAGAGCGGTCTAGGGACC